ACAATACCTATCTTGATACAGGCAACTTAGTATTCAATGCCATATTTATTTCTATACAACACTATCGGTGCATTATAGTAATCTATTGAGGTGGCAGAGTGGTTAGCAATCCTGCTTCTCAGGAAGGTCCTTTGGTTCGAATCCCGGTCGGAACAAGGTCGTCTCAATTTTCTCTGTTTGCGTAGGTTTCCATTGGGTGCTCCGGTTTTCTCTACCACTAAAAACATGTACAATATTTATGCGTCTCACAGGCAGCGGGGCATGGTGTTGCTCTCTTCAGAAACCACAGAAAACCACCGTGGTCAAATGTAATGGACAGCGCGATGCGAACGTGACGTTTAATAGTTACACTAGCAATGTGTAAATATTATTTTGTTGTTTATTGATGATCATTCTAAAAGGGCACTCAATCATCAAATTAAGAGCAATATATGTATATCGAGCGGTATCATGACTCCGAACAGCCCTAATGATAAAACAGTTTGGTTTCTAAATTAACGCTTTATATGACCGCTGTGTTTACACTGAACACGGCTCTGCAAAAAGTGAATTGAAAGCTGAGTCCAAATGACGCGGCAGCATGGGTCGTCTGTGTGAATGGAACGGGAGGACGTTTTTGGTCAGTGTGAAAACCTCTATTGTACCTATTGTAACCCATATTATTTCCTGTATACATTAGGTCATTTATTGAGTAACAGCTTTGTGATGCATTGTGTGACTCCGACAATAGAAATTCTGTAACAACCAGGAGTAGTTGCCTCACCTCGCTAAGCTGACTCCTCACTCAGCGTTTGCAAAAATGATAGTGACTTTTTAGCGCAAAAGAAAGAGAGCTTTGTTCTGAACAGGGGCACACCAGAATAGCTCCTAGTTTGCTTTCATCATCCTTCCCATACGAGCATCCTCCACTCTCTCTTTGTCCTTCCCTTCTTTCCTCCTCCACTCCACGCTTTTCTATCCTTCACTTCAGAGTCTACCCCCTCCCTACATGTTATAAGTAAGGCAGTCCGATGTGCCCGTCAGTGTGTGTTCACCAGAGATAAGCGCAGGTAGGGAGAGTTACATAAGCCAGCGTTGATTACTGTGGAGGAGAGGGAAAGGCAGAGGGGCTCGCGAGCTTTAGACGAAGGCCTGAACGGAGCGAGACCGATTGCTACCCCACTAAGTACAATAATGCTGGCTGCTGCTTGATAAGTAACCCTGGCTACTGGGGCGGCCGCAGAGGACAGTCATTAAGTGGACTGACAGCTCGACTTGTAAATGGGAGCGTGCTTTTTATTTTCATGTCGAACAAGAAGAATGCAGTCTTGTCAGGTCTACTTCATTAATATGGCTGATATTGGCCTCATATAGCGATTTCATTATTTTCTTCAGCGTGTGGTCGTTTACATAAATTAGCAGCGTGGAACAGTCTACAGTAGGAACGGTGCCATGTGTTAATTGTTTTTATGATGTGTCAAAAAATTAATTCAACTTATAATTGAAGACCGCTGGAGAGAAAAACACAGCCAGTATAGATTCCATTGCTGTAAATCATTTGTTATTGGGTTATAGTTTCCTGATATATTAGTATAGTATAGTTTAAGCAACCATATGTATGTGTTTTCATGTATATTTATTAGATAGCCGGAGGTAATTGGGACAGAAAGTACATAATTACATTGTGTTTGAGTCATGTTTGAGGAACCGCAGACCACAATATGCTTTCTTCATCTTTGTCAGGAGAGGGCTACTACTAAAAGCTGATCAGTGACATGCGACAAAAATTACTACATAGCTATACAATATTTCAGATTAGATTTTCTATGTATCTTTGCTATCATTCTCTATCAAACAGGTCAAAAGCCTTTCTTGTTAGTCTTGCCTGGACTTTCCCTGAGGGACAAATGACTGTTTATCGTCGAAGAATGCCAGAGGTGATTGGGTCAACTGCCACCTTAGCTCTCTTATCTACTTAACTCTACGACTTCACAAAGCCAAGGGCGCCTGACGCCAACTGCCCAACGATACAGCTTTTTAAATGCCTTTCACTCAGAGTACTTTGGTCACGGCCGTGTCCACAGCTCTTTCACACCCCGTTCTCAACAGTCTGCCTCTCCAAGTCATCATTTATGTGCATGCTCCTGGCCTCATCTGTATGCTGAGCACCCACCCAGGGGCCTTCCAGCGCGATGGACACGCTCAAGGCCAAACAAGTGTGTGGATTAAAGGACGAGTACGAGCTGCTGCTGTGTCGTCTATGGACCAAGTCTCCAAGACCTCACCCTTGGCCTACTGTTGGGGTTCCCCTGAGCAAGGCCCTCGAGCTTGAGGAATGTTTCTATACCAACATAGCCATTGAATTAAAAAGGAGCAATGATTTAGGAAAACAAATATAATAATTTGAAAAATAAAATTAAACATTTAGGAACTGCTCAAAGCCAATAGAGAATAGAAGGAGATGGTACAAAAGGTAAATCAAAGAAGGACAGTTAAAATTATAGTTTAATTTGCAATAATAATAGAGATGGTCACCATGGTTATAGTCTTAGAGGAAGTAAAATATATATATATATATGTATATATGTGCTCAAATTAAATGTGTATCTCATTGTGCGGAATCACTCAATTAAAACGTGTTCAAGCGTTTAGGAAGTACATGGAGGAAAGAGAGTGATGCCTTCAGCACAGAGCGAGTAGTGGAAGAGGAGTGTAGGGTCAGAGAGGGTTTGGGCCAGTGTCTTCTCTGTGTGTATGTTGTGCGTAGCTTTGAATGAGTGAGTGGGGTTGCCAACCCCTTTTTAAACTATATGTTACTTTATTAATACAAAAATTATTTTGATTCATGTTCATATTTGTGTTGTTGTTGTTGAATGTATGTTCACGATGTACAACAATGTTTTAAATGAAACAATAAATCCAAATCTGAGTCTAGAGTATGAGTTGGACTTGAAACAGAGAAAAAAATATATATATATATTATATATAGGTTTACATAATATTATTTGACTTATACATTTGAGAGGAATTACGCTGGCCTGTGAGAGATGGTCAAGGTGTTTTTTAAAATCAAAATTCAGAAAGTGCATGCATCATGAGACATGCCAGCAGGAAGAGTAAAAGAGTTGGAGAGAGGCCTGGCATGTACAAAAAATTGGAATAACAATAAGGAGTGCTTTTTATGTGTGAGAGACTCCACAGAATGATGCTCTCACAAAATTCCACTTTTTTCTCAGTGGCTTCTTCTCTCCAGTCTGCGCCGCACAGAGATGCCTGTGTGCACAGTATTATGTAAATAGTCTCCTCACCAGAGTGCCGCTGTCACCAAGCGAGCATCCTCTGGGCTATTGAGGCAGCCTCATTAAAACAAGGCACCACATCCATTAATAGATACCACACGCACACACACACACACACACACACATATATATATATATATATATATATTTATACATATATATATTTATACATACAGTCATCTACATGCAGAGCACTCACTCCAACTTCATCAATAAAACCACTCGATTGTCACTGTGTGTGTGTGTGTGTGTGTGTGTGCTTGCGTGTGTGCGTACGTTTTTAATCCCGAGATTTTAATATACTTTTAATTGCATGGTTTGTGTTTTCATATTTGTGTGCTTTTAACCACATTTGGGTTAGGGTTAGGGTTATGGTTTTAAACTACTTGTGACATGGCCCCTCCTACCCTCACGCACAGGACTCATGGCAATCTGCGCATCTGTGGGGAACAGGGGTATTTAAGAGCTGAGGACGGACTCAGAGCAAGAAGAAAGAGAAAAGACATGTTCTTGTGGCGGGCTGGAGGGACCTGAGCCGCTTGGGTGGCACTGCGCGGGAGCGGCTGGCCAAGGGGAGACTGAGCGGTTGTACTGGATCAGGACCGGGCCAGCTGAGCAAAGCGTGGGATGGAGACAACGGGGGCCCAAGACAGCAGGAAGAGGGACACCAGCAATGTGGCCGGGAGCACGCATTGACAGCATGGTGCGTGCGTGTGTGGTTTATGGCCCAAAGGAGCATGGAGCAAGGGCTGGTATGTGCTGGCCTTTCTCTGCGGGTGTCCGGTGGCAACCTGGGGTTGGCAAGCTACGGGAGAGCGACTGTGGCCTGGGTCCTGGGACAGAGGAATGAGGAAGGACCAGTCTCTGTGAGCAACGCAAGGACCATCTTATTCGGAACCGTAGCGCCTGGGACACAGGGAGAAAAAAGCAACCGCCACATAGAAAGGCGTGGGTCGGTATGGGATTGACCCTGTGACCTTGCTGTGATGAGCATGAGCATTACCCACTCAGCCATTGGGCTGCACATCTGAATTATCATTGGAAATATTGAATTGAATCAATCATTCTGTGGCAAGCATAAAACCACATTCCTTTTCTGTTTTTATAATTCACTTGTCACTTTACTCGCTGCTGATATTATTTCTATTGTTTGTTCTGGTCATCTTCTCTGCAGCTGAAGTAAAATACAAACATCTGTAAATACCTCATAATGCTCCACAAGGGACTTATCCTTGAGCTATAATTCCACTTGGTTCAAGAGTTTTATCTTATTATTTTATTTTATCATGTATTATCTTGAATAACAGATCATGTTAGATGTGTGCAACCTGAGTGCTCCTTGTATTCTGTTGGAATGTGCGCAATGATGACAATGAAATGTGAGCACTATGGAAAAAATAGAGGTTTATCTTATCTTAAAGCAGGGGTGTCCAAACTGGTGGTCCTCAAGTGAGTTTGATAAAATGGGTGGAGTCTGCTCTGCTCCTGCTGGGTCTAATAGAAAACCTGCAGCCACAGTGGCCCTTTCTGGACCGGTTTGGACACCTCTGTCTTAAAGTGATGATTATAGATATTCCCTTGCCCAGATACAAAGTAACGGCCCCATTTGTAGAATTTGTGTTTTCCAAGCTCACAATACTCGTTAGTACTCAACAATGTGTTTAAGGTGTGATCATGTGAAGTAAAGGGAGCTTGTTTGTTTGTGATGTGCTGGCCCCTCAGGTGGTTCCCGAGGTGTGGGCTTCATCCGCTTTGACAAGAGGATAGAAGCGGAGGAGGCTATCAAGGGTTTGAACGGACAGAAGCCGTCCGGAGCTGCTGAGCCAATCACCGTTAAGTTTGCGAACAACCCGAGCCAGAAGACCAGCCAGGCCCTTCTGTCACAGCTTTACCAGTCCCCTAACCGCCGATACCCGGGGCCCCTGCATCACCAGGCCCAGCGCTTCAGGTCAGTGTCCTGCTCAGAGCACTACAAATAAAAGCAAAATAAGCTACTTTTTATATTGTGTGTGTGCATTTTAAGGACTGTCAAGATATCTTGGACACATGTTTATGAAATGAACTGCAAGGTTAGGAATTAGCTTATTAGCTCTCCCTTATTCAATGCATTCAGTGAGAGGTGGGAGAATGTTTACAGAAAAACAGGTGTTGGGCTGCACCTGACCGAGGTGTGTCAGACTCAAGCCTAGCTCACATCAAACAGGAAGTGTTCAGAAGAGACTGTGGGGTTCTGTTCTTCATTATGCTACATCGTTACATTTCACTTCACTTCATCATGTTCATTCCCTGACTTAAGCAGTGATTTGTTTTGTAGGTTTTCCATCATATGAAATTTGACAGTGAATGTTACCAATTTATTAGAAGGTTAGGGATTTACTGTGAATAGAGGATTTGTTCTAGAAGTAAATACATGGTGTACACGTTTATAAAACTACACAAACCTTTGATTTAGTAAGTAAGCAAATGTATAGTCAGTAAAATGTAATTTTATATATATCATGTATATTGTATATTTATATATATCATCTCTCTCCTTCATGAATAATAAGCTAATCATGCACTTTACTCTCAATCAAAGTCTAAGCTTAGAAATGTGTTTCCTTGTGGAGCAGCTTCCCTGGTGTGACACCAATGTAGCATGGCTGTGTGTCTGTGATACGCCAGGCCAATTTACCGGCTCTGCAGGAGCGCTGTCGCTTCCCATCACAGCTCACATCCATAGAACACTTCCTCAGTGTATCCCTGCTCCCAGAATGCCCTGCTTAAACCAGGGCCCACTTTTAAAAGTCACATATGTGTGTAATGCACACTTTTCATTACAACAGATGTCATGGAGCATGTCTACAACAGTGTTCAGATCCTTCAAAGTTAAATATAGGGCTGTGGTTTTACAGTGAATATAAGTCCTCCTACAGTTATAATTGCACCCGTCCGGTGTGACTTTCTCACGTGGGTCTTCTGTAACAGTAATTATTGTATTATGTGTTTGTACAGTCTCTCTCAAAGAAGCAAACATAATCAACACCAATAACCGTGCCCTAGATACCCAGTCGTTTCAGATCCTCTGTCGTTTACTAATGATGCTAATTAACAAATTAGTCTTATTATATTTAGGGATGTTGCCAGTTTTAATTGAAGTATAAGACAAAAGCTTCCATTCCTTGTGTGTTATGAGGATACAATAGGCCTATTGTGTGTGTGGAGCTTGGAAAGGCAGTGTGAAGAGCTGGCAGGTGAGCGTGTATCAGGGCGCATGCTCTGTGAATGCAGCTCTGCAGCAGGTTGTTTTGTGTTTGCCCCAGGGCCAGACGGCCAGCAGATGTCTCTTGAGTCTTTCCAATTGACTAATTTGCCTACAAAGCTGCTGGTTTCTCTGCTTCTTCCGCAGTTATTGACTAATTGAAACACCAGTCACCCTTTAATCATAATGTTGAGATCTTTGTGTTTGTGGAACCAGACGCCCTTCACAAACAGCACACATGGAAATCTCTGGGTGCTGTCTCTGGATCTCTTCTGGCTCTGCTATACCTGTTACGGCCGCGTAACTTCTGTGTTTTGTGTTTGAATGCAGAAATGTCATCTCTGGAGCAGAGGGGGGTGAGGACGTGTCAGCGTAGCCACAAAGCGAACAGATGAATAAGTCCATTTCTTCACACATGCAGCAGTTTAAACAGTGATATTTTTACTGTGTGTTTAATGCACACCTTACGTAAATAAGGAAAAGTTAAACAAAAGGATGTGGTGAAGCCCTATTGGCGCAAAAGGCACCTGTACCCGCAAAATATCCTGCTCTGCACAAACAGGCCACATTTAACACTCAGGCCCTGAAAGATCATCTCTGTGTGAGGTGCACTGTGCACAAATGGACAGGACTGACCATGAACAGTGAATTATTAGAAACATGCTTAATGAACTTGTATGTTGCTTCTTTGCATTATAACATATAGTTAGCTTATAGTGACAACTCAAATAACTCAACCAATAACGTCAACCTCTATATAACCTCCAAATATGTGAGATTCTCAGAATGAATTGAGAGTCAGTCGCCAGCTGTTGGCTCAGTAAGCTGTGGCCCTGGTCCATTAGGCCAGAGAAGTTAATAAGACATAAGACAGGCCAGACCGTGTGAGTAATGGAGGTCGTTGAGTCACTAAGCTGACTGCGTCCACACAAGAAGATCCGTCTTTCAAATGCTCCTGTAACCTCTTAAAAAAAGTAATATCAGTATTCAGTGAATGTATTCAGTCCAGTTCGTTTTCTGGTTGTGGAGTGTCAAAACATTTCACTGATTTCATGATGGCTATGTTAAAGGTTTGACTCTTCAGTTGGATTGCCTCATCAACATGCCAGCCCTCATGTTTAACTCACTCATCACGCTTTACTCTGATAGAATTCTCACAAAGGGCATTTCCCTCATCTCTGTCATCTCAAATGTTCTCAATTTGTTAATCACTTAATTAGGTTAACAAATTACTAAGCACGTATGTCTGCCATTGCTCTTTATTTTATCACGCTATCAATATGACCGTACGATACGTTCATGTAGTATATGTTATGCTTGTAGATAAGCAGATGTGTATGTATTTCTATTAATTCTACCGTTTAAAGGTCTACGAAGTATCGAGTATACTTTGAGAAGCACCAGAACTAGTGATGTGGTGCTGCAATTCAAACATTCTTCTGCCCTTCGGATTTCACTCTGCAATTCAGTCCCAACAATTTGGACGGTTTGGTCCTTTTGACTATAGTGACATATGGCCACATAGTACCAACTCCTGTAAGTTTCTGGTGGGCTCTTCAGTCATGGGCCAGCCATGTTTGTTTGCTGTGAGCGAGGAGGACCATGTAGTACCTAAACATTATTTCCATTGAGTGACTCGAACCATCTGCCCACCATTAACCCCAGAACCCTCCTTCTCTTTACAGGCTGGACAATTTGCTTAATATGGCCTATGGCGTAAAGAGGTAATTAAAAACTTCACCCAATGCCAGATGTCCATGTTGACTCAATGGTTTTTCAATATTGTTTTCTTTGGCTGTGGTTATTATTCAGTTTGTGTTGCCTTGTATTTTTGCAGTCTCTTTGTGTTTGACAGTTTGTTCAAGGTCAACTGTATTTATGTTTGTTTGATTTGTTTGGTTTTGCTTCGTCAGCACGAGTTGGTTTCTGACTCATTTTAGGACTATTTTCCGTGGTAATGAATTTTTTTTTTTTTGATTATAGTGATGGTGGTGTTTGTATGGAACAACTTCAGTTCTTGGTTGTAGTTATTTTTAGGTGTATTTATGGATTCAAGGTCACCTGCCTTGTCACATTAACCAATCACAGTATGCAAAACGCGACTTCAATCTAGGTTTAGGTCATTTTTTCTTCTAAATATTTGAGTCGAAGATAATTGACAATGTGTTATTAAAATGGAAAATGTGTTGGCAGTAAGCATTTGGCTGGAAAGTTGACAAGGCTGGATGAACTTGAATCGTACTGGAAACAGGAAACGGTTTCACTGCAGACAGCTCCAGCTTTGCTCGGCACTGCTCTGTTCCAGCTCCTTCCGCTCACCTCCATGTTTCATTTTGCTTTTGAGCTGCCTGAGTTGTTACATAAGCCTGAGCAGCCATTCAGTAGACAGAGGCTTCATCTACTGACCGTGTCAAAGAGCATGTTACAAGCACTGGGCCACTTAGTTGGCTTTTTATGCCATAAGCCCAGCATTGGTCAGCATTGTGTGATTTTCAATTATGTCATAATTTCTAGCACTTTTAATAGTCAATATCCTTTTTCCCTCTCAGTTTCCTGGGCTGAAACAAAAGGTGTAAATATATTGAAATGGTTGGGTTTTCAAAGGAATAATAACTATCTGGTCATCCACACTGTTGCTATGCAACCTCTGGTCCTGTATGTAACATTGGTTAGTGTCCGGTGCCGCTCTGATGGGTACAGCCGCATGCATTTCCCCAGTACTCACATAGAGACAATCATCCTCACATTCCTGCTAACCTCCAAACCGCCCCCTGCGTACTCGCATGCCCCCACTCTCTGCTCTTGCATACCAATTGTGTAACGCAGCAGGGTCCGCCATACGCAGCTGAGCATGTCAGAGGAGAGCTTGATGTGATGAGGCCATAAACACTAAAGAATATAAGAACAAAAGCAGGCACCCATAGACTGATGAACTTAACCAACATCATTTTTTATGTTGTCCAATAGACCTGGAAACTGTAGTCACACATATAGTTTATACAATCATTTCTTGTTACTTACTTTTGATAAATGATTAAAAGTGCCCCACACGTGTTAAAATGAAAATGGAAAGCCCTTGAAGACAATGTCAAGCGGCTTGTTCTCATCTAATAGTCCTCGCACCACACAAAGGCCGGCAGCAGCCTGTGCATGACCAAAGTCACACAGGAAGGTCATAGTGACTGCTGGCCATATATAGTCGCCAGAGGAAGAGGAGGGTGGGGGTCTGAGTGAGCAGGGTTATTGATCGATGCCACAAGGAGAAAACAGAGCAGGCTGCAGACTGGACAAGGAGTGGGAGGAATACACTTTGTACCCTAATGCCACTGGGCTGTAAAGTGCTTCCATTTTCCATTTAGCTCGTTCCCTGTGCCCTTCTCTTCTTTGCTTAAGAAAGCTACTCTCTTTCTGCTGCGGCATAAAAGAAATCATAATTAAACTCAGACAGTTATGTCCATAGTATTTTTTCCAGGAGAGACGTGGCAAAATGAATGGATATTATTTTCTCATTTACCTTTATATGTTTTATTACTCTCAGTTTGAGCAGGAAAGTATTTAAAGGAAGTCAACTGAGGACCAAAACCACATCTGAAGGAAAGCAGCAGATTATAAAATGAATTAGAGCAGTTTTAACAGGATGGTACGTGATCTTGGATGATTTCTTCTACCAAATGCTATAAGAGTCATTCAAGGACACACCAAAAACCCCCAACAAAAAGTCCTTTCTCCATCTCCTCCAGCAGAAACACAGCTCAGCACATAGTCGTCAGTCGCGACAGGAGGCCTTTGAGGAGTGAGAGGATCAGGGAGGATTTGAGAGCTCACATAGACCCATACACACTGAGCTATATCTCCTGCATACATGCACAGAGCAAACAGCTGTGTATGCCTTCTAACTCATTTATTATTTGCTTTAGAGATCAGCGTCTGTGCTTGGACTGCTAAATGCAAGTAGTTTAAATCGAACTTGAGGAAAGGCATTAGAGGTGCAGACAACTAAACGCACAGTCCTCCTACATCAACAACACAGAATATGGTTGACAGTGTCACTCTGTCGTGGTTAAAGCTGGGATACCTCACTTTGAAACCAGAAACATACTATGTAATAGATTCCATGTATTTCATTCCTATGGTTTTTGTCTCTGGCACATTTTTGGATCAGCAGAAAAAACTGAATGTAAAATATCAAATGTATTATTATTATTATTGGTCTTTATTTAGCCAGGAAAGTCCCACTAAGATTTCAGAATCTCTTTTTCAATGGAGTCCCAGACAGCTGTCTATACCTAAAAAATAAAAACAAAGAGAGATTCTTTAAAAATGTATAGACTCTGTGTATTTCATATGACCAGTTACTTTTGTATCTGCTTTCTTTTAAACAGACGTCTATCGTGTGTGAATTTGATTATAAAAAAGAGACCAGCTGAACAAACTGTCAACCCAAATGAGAGCTTGGATTGGATAATCTGTGTCAAAATGATAAACATAAATATATATTTTTTTTAAAGGATAATCACTTTTGTTCAAAAAAGGTGAATTTTTATCTGTAGTGTTAACCTATTACCTGGAGACACATATAACATCTATGAATTCAAATAAAAAACGTTTTCTGTTGGGTCAAAGTTAGCTACCCCAGCTTTAATGCACAAATAAACACAAACTCTACCATAAAGTAATAGTTCCATTTATAACTGAATTTCTGCATTTTTTTTTACGTAACATTTATACATACCTAATATTTATACTTTCACAGCCGCGGTCACACAACGCACTTTAACATATTCTGCTCAACCAATTGCGCCTTCTTTAAACAATACATAGAGTTGCTTCACACTAGCGTTCATCACATACACTGACACTAAGAACTGGACCAAAGCTGATCCAGCCCAAGGTGAACCGGGACAGGAACAGGACTAACTCATTGCAAATTGATACAAAATGGGCCAAAACTAGAATCAATAAAGGAAAGTGTGAACACAACCTCAGATGATCTTTCTAATAGATCTGAATGATGCCTTTATGAGTCCCACAGTGCGGAAATCACAAATGGGAGGATTAAAAAAGGCTCTATTTATCTGGGCTTGGGCCTGACACCAAAAATACAACTGAAGAACAGCCCGGTGAATATTCTTATAATATTGTTTGATGGAGGACTCGGGTCGGATCGGGTTGCATCGTGTGATTCTGTAACCACTGTTTTACACATTGTGTCCTGTCTCCCGTAGGTTCTCTCCCATCACTATCGACAGCATGACCAGCCTGGTGGGCATGAACATCCCGGGCCACACAGGGACCGGCTGGTGCATCTTTGTCTATAACCTGTCTCCAGACTCAGATGAGAGCGTCCTGTGGCAGCTCTTTGGGCCGTTTGGAGCCGTCAACAATGTCAAAGTGATCCGTGACTTCAACACCAACAAGTGCAAAGGCTTTGGCTTTGTCACCATGACGAATTACGACGAGGCGGCCATGGCCATCGCCAGTCTCAACGGCTACAGGTTGGGTGACCGTGTCTTGCAAGTCTCCTTCAAGACTAACAAGACACACAAGTCCTGAACTATGAGCGGAGTGAGCAGTGACCCCACAACCCGGGGTCCAAACAGCCCCTCGACCTCCACCCTTTCCTTAGGCCCCTCCACGACCACAGTGTAACAGCCATCCAACAGCAAACTCCAACGGGAACAACACGACCAACAACCCAACCAATTGAACTCTTCTATGGCTTATACTATAACTTTGGACCTATAAGCCAATGTTGCCTAAGTATTACAAAAATTATAAAAATGTTCATACGTTTTTTGAAGCTCCTGTTATAACGCAGGCTTCTCTTTGTTGTATATTCTGTTCGTTGTGGTTGTTCTTGATTATTTCTCTTCAGTGTAAACAGTAGCAAACCCCCATCCCCTAATTTCAGAGAAGAGAATGTCCTTTTTAGATTGAAACCTTTTCTCTGTCCTTATTCAGGATGTCCTTTTCTTTTGTAACTCCGGATCCACTGTCGTTAGTACTCTAACCTTCCTGTCGGTGAGCGGGAGGGGGCTCTTTTATAAATTAGTGAACCATCTCACATTTTTATTGTGTATTGAAACTTCCCCTTACGAGGACGGGACAGTGCCACCCCGCTTTCTCTGATGTAGAAAAAGAAATTTATAACATGTCTTTGTTTTGTATCTCAAACAAAACATAGTCTTTCCTCACGGGTTCAGGGAGATGGGGCGCGGGGGGATGGGTTAGCTTTCCTGATGACACGTTCAGTAATTTAAGAAGAATATCACACTGTTGCCAAAGAGAAGATCTCTTTGCTTGGAAAAAAAACGTGTTTAGAAAAAAAGAGAAAAAATAAAGAGAAATAAGATCTATTTTTATAAATGATAATTAAAATAATAATATTGAAGAATTTTTACAAGAATCTGGATTTGAAAAAAGAGAAAAATATTTTGACTGGCTAACTATGGGGGATGGGCGGGAGGGGGCGGGTGGGGGACACCACCTTGTCTTGTCGTTCTGCTGTGATTCTTTATAGAATAAACGCTCCGTTAGTTTTTTGGGGAATCAAGGATGGCAGTGGTTTTTTAGAAGGAAGGTTTTGTGAAATGGGAGGTGAACCAGAGGCAGGTGATTTTGGTATTTTTCATGTACAATTGCGTAATTATTCAACACCCGAAACCCAAAAGGGAAGGGAGAGAAGCCTAACCATCCTATAATCCAGAGCCCAAAGCAAGACTTTGTTCACTTGTATTCTGTTGTCATCAGTCGATAGGAATTCTCAGCAAATGCATCAGATGTTCTCATCGGTAAGGCATATTATCCACACGTTTGTTCTGTTTTTGTGTTTGACACATTTGAGAAGAAACTTCCTTTTAGCGATCAATGGTAGGTGCTATACTACATTATTCACATATCTTAAATATCCAACTTTGTTGTTGTATGTGTTGTTTAAAGAAAAAAATACTTCAATGTTGGCATTGAATTGAGCTGCTGTTATTTGTTGAGTATTCATTTTATTGTGGGCCCAAATCTGGTGAGACCATATCTTTGCTAAGAACCAGATGACTGCGCTGGGCCGTGTAGAACCACTGAACTATATTTGAGTTTTTCTGTTTGGCTTGCTGACTTTTTGGTTTGTTGCAAAGCGTGAAACGTTTGTCTAAACCTCTTGATGATTAGCTAGTTCTGTTAGTCTAGATATTTGTTTCCTTAAAGGATCTATGACAACTGTGTCTTTCTTTGCTGTGTACAATTAGAAGATATATATAAATATATATAGTCTACATTTGTTTTATAATATCTACTATCTAAGTTGTCACTGTTCTTTTCTTTGAGCTTGTCTTTTTCATATGACAACTTATTATGAAGTGGTGGTTCAGTTACTTAGAAAAACTTGTGAGGAACTGTTCAATTGTTGTCATGTTGCTTGTGGAGAAAAAAGTTTTGGATCGACTTAATTTAATTAAGAAACAAAAGCTTCAACTATAACGTACCTGTTGGTTTCGGATTTAAAAATATTTATTTTTCTATTTATTTGTATTTATTCTCTATTTATGACTTGATTAATTTATGTGTGTATATTTATGTATGTATTTATTTGGTTCATTGTCTGTGTGTATTATTCTGGTACAGGGAGGGGGGGCGTTTCTGAGCAAAGGGAACAAAGCGACTAGTGGAGAGTCCAGTAGTCCACTGCACTGAGAGAACTTTTAGTACGTTTGTGCTTTGTACCAATATAGCAAAATGACCATATAAAAAAACCTAAAAGTCAAGAAAACTGAAAAAAATGTCTGGAGGGTTGGGGGACGCTCTTCCCTTATTATTAGAAACAGTTACTCGCTATGCATAACCTAGTTACTAGTTCAATTTGCTCTTGCTTTTTTCTTGTCTTGTTAAAATATCTTAAGATCTTTTTTCAATAAAGTTTAGTCATAATAGAATGTTATACAGTTGTTCTGGTTCAATATAACCTGTGATAAGTTTGTGTAATTCAAAAGCCACTTCGTCCACACCCTCCCTCCACTTACTACCGCTTTGTGATTAAACTTTATGCAAAAATGTGGGTCTGAAAACATTCTTTTTCAGTTTTCTATCTTTTTCATTGAGCTCTATAGAACACTTTATAGGAGTAAAAGCCCATTGTGATATGAGGGTCATTCATTGCACTGGACTAAGGGTGATCAAAGCATATTTTTGAAAAATGTCATCATGTTTTCAAATGACCTACCAACAAATATTTAAATTGTACCATTGCACACCAACTGTTCTTTACAGCAGTTGCTGCTCAAATATAGAAGGTATGAAAAGAATTGTACCAATTCTATATTTTATATACTCTAATATGATATATATTATATATTTTGAATGGTATAGTTAATGGAAGTTAATATACAGAATTGGAGTTTTTGTTTGTTGTTATGACTTGAAAACATGAGGAGGTGCGCAGAGCATCTCCAACACTTCACCTGCCACACCTCAGTCCATAAGCACCAGACCAGACCCCTTCATGCCCCTGCTGTCGCCAGGAGCTAAATTATGCAACGACCCCAGTAGAATGTTGTGTGTTGTGGGTGTTTCCTCCACTGTATGACCTCGTACCTCTGTGGTGCCTGTTTGTGTGCTCCATACAATCACATATGTGTACACAGGAAGTACATATATGTGTACACAGGATCTACATATAGTGTGCGCACAGTACATATATGTGTCTCCTCTGCATGTGTGCGTGTTCTGGGCGTCTGAACTCGGGGTGTGTCTCCTGACTCTAGACCGCCCCCTATGGCTCACATCTCCCTGTAGCGCCTTATAGTGGCAGTGTGCCAGTAAGAACAAGCAGCCTGTAGTGGAGGAGGGAAGGTGACCAGAGGAACTCGGCTCCTTTATCCTTATTGTCACTTTTAAGTTTATCCTCCAGAGATGTGTTTGTTTACTATTTGAAAAGTCTATAAACAAAGCGTTAAAAACAAAAAAGAGATTTTAAAAAAAGTTGTCGGGCTTCTTGACCTCAGCTCGCTCTATCTCTCCTGCTTATGTTATTACTTAACAATTATCAATGATGATTATTATTATTGCTATTAATCTTAGTATTCTTATTCTTATTATTATATCCAATTACTGCGATGAATGACTTCATGTTATCCTTGCTAGTTTAGGTCATTTCTGAAACTGGAAACAAAAATAAATATCTTGCTGTAAATGTTTGTTTTTTTCTTTTTCATAAAACTGTTGTGTTTGAATTATTTGTACTTTTGAATGTTGGGACAATAAAATGAGGTGTTAAGAGCTTGGACGTTTCTTGTATTCAATTAAATAATTTGCATTGCTTTTTGTTTTTCGGTATATTTATATTGTTTAGTACTCGGTGTGTAAGAATGCCCATGTTGTTTGTAGGATTAGGTGCTACCAATTTTGAATTTATTGTTGAAAAATAATAAAATACAGGTGCTTCTTATACACATTATTATAAAATGCACTCATGACTTACAAAATGCCCCATTACTTGCAGCAGTAGGTCAATGATGGCTGGATTTCAGGTTATATACAACCTACATCAGAGAGTAAACCGTATATTTGATTGAGCTTAGTTAACTCTGGACCTTTTACTAGTCACTTAAAGGGACAGTATCTCTATTTTCCCAGATGATGGTCCCCAGATATTAGGCCCATATTTAACTCATATCTTCTGTTTAACAGTTTAAAGTGGAGTTATTCCTATTCTCTTATGTCTCTTACTTCTTAAAATTACAACGTCCACATATCTATGTCTACGATTTACATAGATTATCCAATCAGAGAGCAGAATGAGTATTTTGAGTTGCCAGTTTATAATATAAAATGTAGCTCGTAATGGCTTTTTCTTTTACAAAATTCACCAAAAAGAGCAGCACATATTTTAATGAAAGGAGGCACACACAATAACGTAATACACGTTTGTAGAGTTTCTAAGTAAACCCCAGTAGCTGGTTTGCATCTGTGAATAGGACATACATTTGTCACAGCAGGAAGAATACGGCAACAAAAGTTAGATAGTAATTGTAACTTATTGGACCACAAAGAGCGGATATTACATACAGTCCCTTTACGACAGTTTATATCTTTTGAAACAGATCATGCAAAGAATTTTTCCCCAAATGAACCAGACCTGGTCCAGTTAAAGAACCAAACCAACAAGTGTGAACACGCCCTAAGTTTGAAGTCTAAATGTTGAGACATTGGTGTAAACAGAACGATCAGATCCATGGAAGAAGTCTGTGAAAGGAGTTGTTGGCTGAATGTTCTCACACCTAATGTGTCACCAGGTGCAAGCATATGATTGTGCCTCTCACTTTCTATACAAGCGCCTTTCCACAGTCTGGTGAGAGAGGATCACACCCGCGCGCAGTGTGAATGTGGGCTTCCTGCTGCGGCGCCACGTAGACTGAAGCTGTGCCAAACACAAGCACCAGGCGCACACAGGGAACAGACACTGGCCTTTTGACAAGGTCTCCCCTATTCTCTCTGCTCTGTTGTATTAAGTCATTTATAAGCAAAAATAAAGTGCAGTTTTAAACTTTAATTTAGTCCATTTA